ATGAAAAAGAATCCAAGTTTCTCAACTCCTTGAACTGCCAGACAATACGATTTTGCACATACACAGAGAGACTTCTATTGGTGGTATTTTCTAAATGTTGGAAGGTATTCTAAAATAAAATAATAAATACCTGTGATGTACAAATGTAATGTTTTTTTCTTGTTCAGTGAAACAATTATAAAAATATCATTTAAATATGTATAACTGACATCAGTTTTCAACTCCCTGCATTCAGCTATTTTGCTTTTTTAAGATACTATATGTGTAGTAGTATGTCCTAACTTTATTAATAACAAACCGTAGTAATAATGAGCATTTATCTCTAAGTTATTTTCAAAAGTTGGTTCCTGCACTTTAGAATTAAAAAGAAAACTAACACTTTTCATCTACATAGATTGATATTATTTTTAGATTTTTTTTTCTGCTTTATCAGTACATTCGTTTTTAGGGAATATGCATATTTTTGTGGATATATTCACTCATATCTTCAAGAAGAAAGAAAAGCTAAGTTTTTATCATTTGATCACATCCTTTTTTCTTTAATGTTTGATATAATTGTCTCAGCTAACAAAACTATACTGTCTTACTTGTATGGTGATAATATGTTTGAACAAAGATTTAAAGTACATGGTCTAACAAAGGATTTCTGCTGTATACATTTTTTGTGTGTAATAAATTTTCAAATGTTAAAGTTGGATCACCCATATGGAAAGAATAAAATTCAGAAATTTTTGGATTTTTGGTTTCTGTGTTTAATGGGTACATTCTGAAGTGATACAGCCAGATCAACTATTTCCACTAAAATCTACCTTAGGATAAATGTTAAAAATAAGCACTTGTAAAATATTTTGGTGCATGAGAACAATGTGGTCTGTTATTAATACTTAATATGTTGTTGCATTATTACTGTCATCTAAATAGTCCTGATAAGCCTAATTTTTCTTCTCATTGGCATATTAGATTGTAAACTTTTGTTCATGTGCATCAACTTTGTATTTTAGGTTTATGATTATTGTGATTTTTCCCTTCTGCGGACAGAAGTTAGTAGAAACGGGCAGTTCTTTGCTGGTGGAGAGGTGCTTGCTGCTCACAGAATCCTCATCTGGACAGAAGATGGTCACAGTTATATCTATCAGCTGCTGAACAGGTGGGCTCAGATGGGAGCAGCATACAAAACATTCAGGTAGAAAATGAACTTTGGGAGGTTTATTATGGAAAAATCCCTGCATGCTGCCCATGATCAAAAACCAGAACAAAACAACTTTGGCACAAGAAGATTTACTCTGGGTTTGGAAGGCTTCAGCCTTTGTACAAAACAGCAGGGGATGAAGGAATGAGATTAACCATGTATAACTTGTACAGCTGGTGCTGGGTTTTCAAAAAGTCACTTGTAATTATTAACCCAACAATTTCTAACTAGAGTTTAGGAACTTGAATGGTACCATCCGGCTTTTGAAAATGGGAGGGGGGAAAAATGAATAAAGAACCCCAAAGTTCTAAACTTTGCTTTTTATTTTTGCCACACAGTGGGCTTTCAAAAAGCATATACCCTGCTGATGGAAGAGTGCTTAAAGAGACCGTTTATCCTCATTTACTGTGCTCTACTTCTGTTCAGGAAAATAAGGTAATGCAAAAAAAGAGTGGCTTCCTCAAAGCCATTCATTCAGTTTCTTAGATAAGTGTTGCTTTGTCTGCCAGGGAATCAGGCTTGAAAAAACTGAATCCAAGCATCACATCAGCGTGTTAACGAGAAAATCAAATTTAATTGTTAATGGCTACTAAAGAGCTAATGTTGTCTTATTTAAGAAAACTTTGTTTTATTTAAAAATCTATTTTAAGTGTGATGAACTAAACAATGCATATTATTATAGGAAAATTACAAATGTTGAAGAAAACAAGTGGGGATTAAAATTCCTAATTTTACCACCACTAATATTTACTGTGAATATTTTTTACTTTGTTTTATATATTTATATATTTTGATGAGCAAATTTTAAATATTTGGAAAAGTTGCAAGATTAGTACAATAATTACGCATATATGCTTTACCTAGATTAACCAATTGTTAACATTTTGCCATATTTCTTCTTTCTCTCTCTCTGTACATATATATATATGCATACATATGCACACATACAAACATATACACATGCACCACACATTTTTTCACTGACCTTTTTGATAGGTGGTTTGACAGAACATTGTTTACTTTTGATATATTAACTCTGATTTTTAAACTTTATGAAATTATTTATATTCTGATTTTTTTTTACTTAACCATTCTTTGAGATGATTTTTACATGTATTTAGCTATTCTTATGAATAAATTTACTTGTTAAAACAAATATAATTATGATTCCAGGCAGAAAGTTGAGAATATAATTGTGAACTTGTTACTTGACTGAATTATACCTCTGACATTCTAAGAAGCCTGAAAATTTAAGAAGTTATTTTATTTCAGTAGTTACCCAATGTGGTTTTTAAAAAATATTTGG